ATATATAAGTCAACTCACACGTCCGTAAAGTCCAGTTGATTCAAAGAGTGTGTCATTTTCTGCATAGAGAAGCCCCTGAAGGATAAACACATCGCGTCAGGAACCAAAGACAAATAATTAAGTAAATTTTATTGAAAGTAAGCAAAAACTATAATTGCAAGTAGACAGAATATAATGTTGAATCATAAAAAGTTTCATAGAACTCAAAAATATCATCAAATTGCTTCAGATTCAACTTTTAAAAAAAATCCAAGTAAAAAGCTACCGTCACCAGAAAGTACATTTTACCGAAAATTTGGGGACGAACAACACTAGCAGAGCTATCGTGATCAGCGACTAAATTTCTCATTTCCGCCAATTGTATAATCCAGAAAACTCGAAATCATAATGCTTATGTTGAAAAATAGAGGAAATCGCGAAAAACTAATGAACCTGGGTGTAGGCTTCGGGGTCGTGAGGGAATTCATTGATGACTTTGACTTTGTAAGCTCCATACGATGCTTCAGCTTCACTGAATACGGCAAAGATCAGTAGAACAATCAAGCCTACAACTACAAACCTTCGATTTAGCAGAGACATTTTCGCGTGATGGTTAGTAGTTGAAGCTGAAGACGCCATTGATGATTATTCAGAGGATTTGGTGAAAAATAATTATAAATCAGTTGACTGTTGACAATGTCGAGTTATCTCCACCGTCGGATTTGATTGATAAAGGGTAGAACGGGCAACCGGCTTGGCCCTTCTGCTCCAGGATATTTGCTCAAATTCAATGTGCATCGAGTGTGAATTTAATATGGAGGTGAAAATCTTATTCCTTCCGTTAAAAATTAGAAATGCTCTTGCCGTGACTACATATACTCTATTCCTCGGCTGTACGAAAAAAATATATAAAAAAATAATATATATATATATATTTCTCTACTGTCGCTGTCCCAATCGAACTATTGACCAATAATTTATTTTTGTAATGGCTATTTTGTTTTTTCGGTTATTTCTTTTGTCTTAGGGCCCGTTTGGCCATGCGATATGGTATTCATGATATGGAATCATGAGATGAAATTGAAGGTTTGTTTTGGACATGCGATATGAAATTTTTGTGTTGTATATTTTCTCATAAACATAAAAAATCTCATAAGTTGTAAAACTATTAAAATAGCCCCAATTGTTTATTCAATCTTATCAAATAAACAAAAATTATAAAATCCCATAATAAATTATTACAAAGTTATTTGTTCTTCACTTAAGTAATTGTTTCATCTAACTTTAATTTAATTTTAAAAATTGAACATAAATTGTACTTGATATGCTCATATCTCCCAACTACTCTTACAAATAACCTATAAAGTAGGGGGAAAACATACATTAGTGAGTAAATATTAACTTAGAAGTTAAATACACTAAGATAAAAATTAACAAACATCACTGACTTCTAACTATTTACAAGAAAAATCAATAGTTAAATATTATTGAATAACGAAATTTTAAAAAGTTACCACAAGTTTGAGTCAAAAACACTTCTAATAAAATTTAATCAAAAAAATTATAACTAGTCCACTTGACTAAATATTAATAACTAATTGATCAAATTTTCCCAAGTCCTCAATCAATTGGACTTGATATTCTTCAGTCATGTGAACGAACATTTTGCGAATACTAAGATTAAGAAAGTGCGGCACCGCCAATGAAAATTGTCTTTTATCAATATTATGCTTAGTCATAAGATTAAGACGTTTTTTTTTTATTATGAAAAATCAAAAAAGTATTACTCCCTTCGTTCTTATTTATATTCACCAAATGAATTTCTACTTTATCATTTATATTCACCAAATTTAAAGTAATAATAAATTTTATATTGGTGAGAATAATAAATTTTAAAAAGTAATGATGTGATTATAAATTTTATTTACATATGAAACAAATGGTTAGTAGATATAAATGTGGGGTTGTTTTAACAAAATATAAACTCATGAATCAATTATTGTATTAAAATATCTCAAATCATGATATGGAATCACATGGTGATTACATATCATGGTTTTTGGAGAATATGGTATCACCTCTCATGATATGGAATCATGAGATGGAATCAGCGTAAAATCGCATGTCCAAACGCTGATTCCATCTCACGACACCATATCGTGATATGGTATCACATGGCCAAACGCCTACTTAATTTATGTAATGTTATTTGACTTAATAGGATATTTAAAAAAAGACTTTTGAAATTTATGAACTAAAATAAGTTAAATATTTATGTGACAATAAATTATCTCACTAAGTATAAAATGAGCATTTTAATTATATTTGATCTCTTATGAATTTCAACTACGGAACTTCATTAGATGATTCAAATCGTTTTCAAAATTTAATAAATGAGTCAGATATTCTTTAATAAATTATCTCATTAAGCATGAAATAAACATTTTAAAATCAAATTATTATTAAATTATATTTCGTCTCTTATGAATTTCAACTACGGAACTTGATGAGTCAAATCATTTTCAAAATTTAATAAATGAGTCAATTCTAAATTTAATACAAATGGACAATTTAGAAAATGCGACATTACTATTTTACAAAATAACAATAAATAAGGAGTATAATTCTATAAATGAGATCTGAAAAAGATAATATATATACAAATTTTATTTCTGGCTTAGATATAAAAATAATTATTTTCAATAAACCTTCGGCTCAATTCATATCCCTACCCGAGACTAAAGAGAATGAGTGAAAATCATATCATGAACCACATATTTGGGAAGAGAGTTCATGTGCATATATATTTGATAGGTTCCATCACATCTTTGTTAAAGACTCGAAATTTACTCAAACTGTTTTGTTAGTTTTTTAGGGGTATATTTGAGTCAAAGAGATTTTTTCTAGGATGGTTTAGATAAAAAAATAATAATGTGTTAATTATAAGCCATTTTTAATATATTAGGAATATTTTTAGTCTTTTTTCATAGAAAGTATGATTTAGTTCAGTAAATATAATCTTTTGTAAACATATAGGGACTTAATAGGAAGTATGATTCGATTCATTTATCACTTTTTAACCATGTCATGTTTAATTGGGTATAAAACATGAATTTGGTTAAATGTGTTTGATTAGTTAAGTTTTTTATGACATGACATGCCAACTAGAAGAATTTAGGTCATTTGGTAGAGTGTGTAAGAATAATGCTAAATAAAGTGTATTAGTAATACTTGCATTAGCAATGCATGTATTAGTTATGCTTGCATTAGTTATACATAGATTATTTTTATGCATTGTTTGGTTTGATGCATTAAAAAATAGCATGCATTGCATAAAAAAATTAATTTACAAAGATACCCTCCACTTATGATAGAAAAGATGTAAAAAAAGGTTTTGAGGGGCAATTGAGTCTTTAATCATGCTAATGCATGCATTAAAATCATTGCATTGCTAATACCTAAAAATCTATGGTATTAGCAATACACACTTTAATACATAGTAGAGCGTATAACAAATGCAAGCATTAATGATACATAGGTTGGAAAAGAGTACAACAAGGTACTAGTAATACACAAGACTAATGCATGCATTATTTTTCCTAATACACTCTACCAATTTATCCTAAAAGAAACAAAAGTGAAATTTATAGAATACTTATTATCAATAGTTGAGAAACCAGTAAATTAACTTGAATTTGGCTAAAGAATATTCACATTTCATTTATTGGAAAAAAATATCTTTAATGTTATTTTTTGACTTAAAAATGTACCTACAAATTAATGGTGGACTAATTGACTTAATGATCTTTATAAAAAGTCATGTGGTAATGTATGATTAGTCCAAGTTTTAATTAATATGAATTGAATTACCAACTCATATGTATTGAGATCCGACCCATGCACCCATATAATTAAACTCAAATTCTTGATTATTAACATCCCACCTGAATTCCTTTCTTCTTCCTCATATATGATATATTCCCTAATATTGTTGTGTCTTTTATTTAGGATTATGCAAATAATTGAAATCAAAATTTGATCTTAAGATTCCCCTGAAAATAAAAAAGAATAAAGAAATTATTTTTACATTCAAGTAGACTTTGCTTTTCTAATAGCTCTAATATTTCGGTGTTAGCGAGTCTAGGTTAAATTCTAAGATTTTAAACATTATTAATGCCATAAGATATTCAAGGAGGAAAAAAAAGAGCAAAATAACCTATAAAATATTTCAAGAGGAAGAGTTGATTATACAGTATAAATTCGAGATCAAATCTGCACCAAGTAGCAACCACTATTAATATGATAACAGGGGTACAATTGACTGAATTTGCCATATGGAACAAAAAACTAATGATTTGTATAGCTTACACATTCTTGAGCGTTTATCACTAATAGAGGCGGATCAAGATTTAAATTTTATGAATTTGACATTCAAGTCGTTTTTTTACATTATTGTATTCTAAAAGTAACAATTTGTACGTATTTAAGGAATTTCTTAAGACAATATAGAGTTTAGACTAAAGTTATTGAGTTTAACAAAATCGTGACTAGCTCTGCACCTAATCACTAATTTGATAACATAATATCAAGTTTCATCATTGGCATGTGAACAATGCGACTAACAATATCCCTGCATTAGTAAAATTCATATAAATTATACTCTTGTTTCGAAACGAATATAGCTCGACTATAAACACGGACAGTGTTAAGAAATTCTTAAACTATTAATGTGATTTAACATGTTATAACAAGTTATCCATCTTATTTTTCAGGTTACTTATTATGGGTGGAATCAGGGGCGAATTTATGTACTAATTTTGGGTCACCCGAACCCGTGGTCATCCGACTAAACTCGATATATTACTTCTATAATTATTAAAGAATATATTAAATTAAAACTTGTTGAACCCGTTCTCAAAATGGCTGGATGGTTCACTGGTACTACTGCAAGATTTCAACTCATAGGTCGCAGGTTCAATCCTAGGCAGCCCCAATTCGCTTCAATTTATTTTTATTAACCAAAAACACATTTTTCATTAAAAAAAAAAAAAGAAGCTAAATTCTGAAAGTTTAAAAGTCAAAAGACTTCAAAAGTTTCCTTCCCACACACTTTTCAAGTTCCAAGTTCCAACAATATTTTTCTTCTCTCTTCAAATTTGTTTTCTATTTTCCACACAAAGAAGAAGCTTCAAGTCTCCAACTTCAAGTCAAGAATTTAGAGAAATCATCATTGTCAAAGTTTAAGGTAATTTTAGTTTATGATTTCTCTTTTTAATAAACAAACTAACAAGATAAATAAATAAATAAATAAATAAATATATATATATATAT